CACCGGGAGCGGAACGGGGCGTCTTCGACCCACACTGGGGCTTTTCCTTTAGCAGCGTGTGTACCCCAAACCCGTCACATATTTAATCTCTCAGTGGAGAGCGGTCATAAGCCAGCAGCAGGGAGGGCAGGCTGCGGGGAGGGCCCGGCAGCTGAGAAATAACGCCTCAGTCCAGTAAGGAAAGCTGCGTGCCTCAGTAACCCGTTTTAACGTACAACTCTTCATTTGCCTTTAAATTTCTCCTTTCCATTTGATTTTGAATGGATCGGTCAATCCCGTATTTGTTTCCTGTTTGCAACTCCAATTTGCATTTTTTTTTTAAACTCAGAACTTCTAAACACGTTGTTCTGTTGCAGTATTTTTGCCCATTTTGTCAATGGAACTGTAAAAATCCAGCCAGAGCTTTCACAGGCTAGCTGCTCCCGTTCCCAGGCGTGGGACGTACACAAAAACACTTCTGCTTATTTAGTGCTGCTCATGTAAATATAATATAAAGGTGTGTGTGCTTAATAGTTCTGTTTGAATCGATGAGGCTAATAACATATGCAACTAAGCAGGTAGGGAAGTAATAGAGTTCATTCAGCTTTGCTTTAAAAGTCTGCACAATGTAGTTTAGCAGGTTTGCTGCTGTCTGTGTTTTCAGGGAATGGCTTGAAAGTATTGATGGAATTTAATGTAATTTTAACATGGGCGATTGATACCTTAGCTAAATCTTAAAATCAAAGCTAGAAACCAATGACTTAAGAACAGCTTTGACTATAAAAACAGAAAAGGAGATCAGAATTTATTCTTAAACCATTTTTTTCCTCTTCTAAATCAGATTTATTAATATCAATAGAAGTGGGATTGGTATGCTATACCCAGTATGGCAACATATATTTGTAGCAAGTTGAACTCTTATTTAATTTTCTTTCCTGTGTTATTAAAATATTTAACTATGAAAAATAATAGGGATTAAGACCAATATGAAATCTGATCTCCTTTCAAAGCCACATTTGCATAGTTTAAGGGCTACTTTTCTCTGCAGGGTGGTTTCTGTAAATTCTGGAAAGCAAGCTGCTTCACTAATAGCTTTATATGACTTGGATATGACAGGCACATTCCCGCTGGATTAAAGCTGGTAATCCCTCTTCTGCAAGATGTGGGGCAGCAGTGTAAACACTGGTCTCTCACCTCCCAGATAAAGGATCTGCTCAGCTAGGGTAGATGATAGTCTGAATTGCATTCAATTATTTAAATATTCATTAGAATAGATACTGCAGTCCCAGGCTTCCTCAGATAAGTGCATGAACCATTTGATTATAGACCCAAATGCTGTCGTTGCTCTCCGAAGTACATTTAATTTTCAACATATGTTTTAGTCACTGAACCCATTAGGTCGTGCTGATGAAAAATAATTTCTTGCTGAAGTGTTTTGCTGGATTAGTCTTTAAATGCAAAAGAGGGTGTAGTTCAAATCAGGCTTTGTGTGGGCTGCACTTTTAATGGTGGAGAGGGATGGTGCTTAATAAAGATGATTAGGAAGTTATTAAAGAAGAAGACAGTAGCAAAGAGGGAAGTCAGCTGGGAGTAGACAGAAGTTTCATACTTGGTGCTGAATGGGAGTTGTCAGGAAGCAGTGCTGGGAAGAGTGTAGGAAATTTCCAAAGGGCAGATATGGTTGCCCTTTGAGCAGATCACGCATAGCTGCATAAACTGAGTAATACAGGGATGCCTAACTCCTGTGGATATTTTAACGTAACACTAGAATTTTCAGCTAGTGACAGCCTAGACCTGTAGTTTAAGCTTTGTACCGTTGATGAGGCAAAGGACTATCTTTGTTTAATTCACTTCTGCAGAGCTTTTGTAGATGAATGATAACAAATGTCTACATCACTGTTGATATGCTGACTTCTTATTTAGTCACGCGGTTGGTGTGTTGTGTTGATGGGCGTTTTTAGTAAGGCAGAGGGAGGGAGAATTGGAAACTGGTGTGTGCATGTAGTACGCATGACTACTTTTTGTGGTTCAGGATTCAGTTTGCTTTACTTTTTTGATCTAACTTTGTTTTATCCTTGATGTAGAAGCCAAATGTTACTCCCAGGCATGGCAAGCTTCATCTGGAGTAATTCACGGCAAAAGTTGCTCTCATCTGCTTGATCTAAATGGAGAATGTTGTTTAGAATAAATTCTCTTCGGGTATGGCTTACATGTATGCACCCTTTCACCATGGTCATGAACAAATGATGTATGAAATGGCACGCACAATCCTGAAAGCCTTTGTAGGAGTTGTCTATCCATGTGAGAAATCTTGTGAGTTAAGACCTTTTCATGGCTGTGCTCAGTTCTGCAAAGTGCTGAGGGCTCTCGCCTCCCATTGTGAAAACGGGATAGTATTAACCAGCTTGTAAGATTTGTCTGTATTGTTCGAAACAGCCCTCAAACATAGCCTGCCGTTTCCGTATTTCAGCTGCCAAATGTAACTCATAAATTCTGATTAGATGACTGGATTGCTTGTAATTAATGAGACAGTATGTTGTGGATAAAAGGTTTTCATATAGATGAAATTCTCACCTTAATCGCTGTTTTGTCTGAAGCTAAGGGAAATTGGTTGAAATAAAAATTTACTGATTGTTTTTTCATAAAATTTACATGCGATGACTGGATAAATCTATCAAATGCTTATTTTAAAATTTAAAAATCTTATTTAAAAATCTTAAAGACTACCAAAATCATTATGAAAGTGTTAGCATATACTTTTTGAAATTATCCTTATAAACATAGATGCAGAATGACTGATCGGGCTGTTACAAATCTCAAACCCAGTCATACCACTGAAATCCACAACAGCACTGGGCTCTCCCCTTTAAAATCCTACCTTCCCCTTCCCTCTCTCAGTTCCAAAACGTTGCATCTGGGAAGCACTGTAGCTGATTACAGAGAATGATGGAAAACTTGGAAATAGCCCGAGGTCATATTCCGTGGTGGTGCAGCTCCTGCAGCACGCTTGTTGGAGATGGCATCTCCCTTGGGCAGAGCAAGGAACCGCGTGTGGGTCGTTCAGGCTGGCACAGTCACAGGGTTTCTGGCTTCTCCGATCCCTCCCAGCCTGGGCAGGTCCAGCCTGCTCGGCTGGTACGGGAGGAAGGGCAGGCAAATCCCTGTTTGTAAAGGAGTGAGGGAAATGCATCAAAGTTCTTTGGAAATGAAAGAGTTTGGGTATCTTTAAGCATTATTTTATCCAAGTAAAACATTCTTATGTTCTGTATAAAATTCCACATAAGATTAGACTGTCCTTTTGAATATTTTAAAAGTGTATTGCAACTTAAATGCTCGAGTCTTCTCAGTTCTGAATATATTCCTCTGAGAACACTTAGGTAACTAGGTAAAATAATTTTACACGTTATCCTCTCTAGACAGTGTGAGTTAGGTATTCCACAGCCCTGTGGCAGCATGATTTAGTTCAGGCAGGTTTGTCCAGCTTTTCAGTAAATTGAAAAAGGTGTCTTTTTAATTTCATACACAATGCTCGTCTTGTTTTCATGTGCGTTACAATGGTAGTCAGCTCTGAATAAGAACAATTGCTGCTTTTCCACGGCAGTTGTATTGCTGTAGCACTGGACAGTGCCAGCAGATCCAGGCTCAGCGCGAAGCTCGGAGCTGCCTCCCTGGGTCAGAGGAGGAACTGAGTCAAGGGTATATGCCTGCTGTGAAAGGAAGTACCAGTGGGCATTCATTTTTTTAAACTATTTTACTTTTTAGTTCAAATTGTGTAGGTGTCCGAATGATGTAGGAGCTGGGGTGTAGGTTCCAGACCTCCATATTGTCTCTTTTTGGTCTTATGTCCCGATAGAGTTCTGTTGCCGTCGGTGGGTTCCCTTCTTTGACGGACCTACCTCAAGTACACTGCGTGTGGGAGGAGGAGTAATCAGCTTTCTAAGTTTTCTGCAGCACTTATAATTTTGAGATTTCTTAATTACTATGATTGCCACTAAAGCAGTTTCTTTTCTACTCTGATTTCTCTTTCCTGGTGCTGTTATGATTCACTCTTGGGAGATTTGGAAAACTGCTTCAGGCTTCCTAAAGTTACACAACAGTTCATAGCTGGAAATCTGACCTACTTCAGAGCTGCTCTTGCCCAGTTAAGAATGTCTCTGAGACTGAACTGCAGCAATATCAGCTTCCCAAGCGTTGCCCACGGGTTAAGGGAGGAAATTATTTGTTATGAAAATTTGTAAATTTGTACTGTGAGGAAGAATAGATAGTATGCTGTAAGCTAACAAATTGTCCAATTCTTAGATTAGATTCAGTGGGAATTTTGCTTACTCGGGTACAGAACTTCAAGCAATGTGTACCATTTGTTATAACGTGTGGTGGTCCACAAAATGGAAGTGTCTGCAATTTCATGTAGACAGTACTGGGGAAAAAAGTGAAAGAATCTATTTGAAAATGAACAAAACTGCTGCCATTTGTGAATTTCTTAATTTGAAAAGGCATAATTCATATTTCATTCAAGAATGTGCGAATGTTCCACGTGGGCATCTTTTTTCATAGGTGTCAATTACGGAGTTTTGTGACCACGTTTTGAAACAATTGGCACTGCTTGGTTCATTGGATAGTGACCTGATTCAGTTTGCTGGCTGTTCCTCTGCCCCTTTCATTTCGGCGTTTAAGCAAAATACGAATTTTCTTCCCTTGGTGAAACAAAAGGTGGTTTAGATATACATCCATTTACACCAGCTGACCGTAATACGTAACGTGAAAGACCATGAGTAAAAGACAGTGTCTGTGGAACAGGGACATGCGATCCTTGAAGGCCCACTCCAGGATGTCAGCTTTGGTTTGTTTCTTATTCTGTTGACACTTACAGAAAATAGGAACTAATTCCCTCAGAATTGCAAAGAGGCCATTGAGGAAAAACAAACTCTTAAAACTGAGAGTCTGGATTGCATACTGCCACATCCTATATGGGTTATTTCCTTTGGGGTGGAAGGGCCCTGGCTATAAAACACTTCTTGGTGATTCTGGCCAGTGGATCTCAATATGTTTATAGCTGATGACCATATTCAGATTAATTTGGGAATCCATGTAAGCCTGAGCTCTAAGGATAAAAAGTTTTAGAGAGAGAAGTGCAGTAATCACTGAAACATTACTTATTTTCTTCCTTGCAGGGCACTATTCGAAGGATTATTATCGAGAATCCTGATCAGGTAGGAAACCTCTTTAGTGCTGGAGTTCTGCTTGCATAACACTTCCTCCCTTAATTATCCTGATTCGGTGAAGTGCTCAGCTACCTCCGTCGGGGATGCTAAATATTCTGAAATCCCATGGCCCACAGCCCTGATTGTGAGAGATGAAATTATTAGGGATTGAAAATACTACAGAATCGCCAGTGAGGCTTCCCACCTCTTGGCAGTTAGTTCTCAATTAATGACCTTCAGTAGCATTGCTAGCGGAGATGAACGTCTGGTTCTACTATGCTATTTCAAACATTGTCTAGATGGAAGTCGCTTTGTTTCCAAATGGACATACGTGCCAATGTACACATCTTAAAGAACTATCTCAAAGCATATGCATCTTCAAATTACATTTTTTCATCAAAATTACACTATTCTGAATTTGCTGTTTGACAACATTTATGAATGTTTTTATTAAAATGTTTTCCAGGAGCCATTATCCCCATTTCTTAGAGGGGGGAATTTCTTTCCTGGAAATAATGTCATCTATGAAAAGACCATAAGAAAATACGAGCTATTAAATCCCCACCAAGTAAGTTGGTTATTTATATTATCTGTTGCAAAAGAAAACTGAGATGGTAGCAGAAAAGTAATGTTCCTGGGTTCTTGGGGTTTTTTTTATTGGGAACTGCCAACCCAAGAATTGCCTTGGTGAGCTATAGGACACATTCTCACAGTAAATGAAACAACTTCTGTATGTGAGGAGAACAGAAGTTGGAATGTTTTCTGTATTTTTACTAAGAATTTATTATTTCAGACTAACAATGAAAACTGCTGTTGTATCTCTAGCATTGTCAGTCTTTGCCTGAATACTGATGGAGAATTAGTTTCTTGCAGTAGCTCCAGAACAGAATAACCAATACAAATTTTTACACAAAAGACAGATTTTAGCTTTTTCTTTCTTTTTACTCATTCTTGAAAAAATACATTTGGTAAAGCTGCCTGAAATTTCATCTTAGACTTGGTGTTTTGTCAATAGCGAAAATATTATTTCTTTTTTTATTGCTCTGAAATAGTTATTTTCAGCAGGCAAAAACTGGAAATTAAAGCTATTTCAGATTAATCAATCCTACCTGTTTGGGGGTTTTTTTGTTTTTTAACTGACATTTTCATTCCATTCTGGATTTTAGATAGGTAAGTTAGGTGTGATATCCATACCCTAAACTGGAAAGCAAAAAAATTTGAGCTAATGCGGAAATAAAGTGTGGAGTCAAGTCCTAGAAACCATGTTTCTACTTCTGCTTTTTGTTACCCAGAGTGTATCTAGATTTATGTCAAATCAGGAGGGTAGTTTTGAAGGAAATTTCCCAGTCTTCTACTACATGTCGCTCTTTGGTTTACACTGCACTGTGGTCTTGGACCATGCAAGCTACATTTCTTTCAGGTGAAATGAGAATCTGTTGGAAGAGCGCACCCAGTGTGCTGCGACTGGGAATGGTGGGAGGCCCATTCAAATCCTGATGTAAAACCTTCTCAGATAGGTAGAATGTCAGTGTTGGGTCCTCCCCCTACTCCTCTTGTGCCACAGCATAATGCCGATGTAATGTAGTCTCTGTATTCTGATTTTGGCACAGAATTAGATGTTGGTTCAACCTTTCAAATGTAACTGCATTGTGAATTTTAAGTCAAAGTTACCTGAAGCCTAGGATGAGCGTTTATATACTTCTGTGTAGAATACAAAATATATATTTTTTTTTTGAAGTAAACTAGTAAAAGCCATGATGTAGAGAAACAATTAAGTTTGCTGAAATTGGTAACTTTCAGTGTTTTGACTGGAACTTAAACTAGTTTTAGTTTATTGTTTTGGTGGGTGGTTTTGTAAATAGCACTTTTCTTGATTATAAAAGCAAGACAGGTATCCCTTATATATCGCATACTCTGAATCTGGAATTGCTGAAAGCATTTGTAGAAGAAAATGTCTTGAGCTATTTCCTGTTCTAAATTTTTTTCTGAGGTAACAAAAACTCAGGTCAGCTGGTGCTCTTCTATCTCTAAAATACTTAATAAAACAGGATATGCAATAATGGAGGTCCCCATTGCCTGAGTATGTTAAGAGTAACAACATAATGAAACACGCAACTCAGTTAAGAAAGGTGTATCTTCTGTGCTTTCTGTTTGCAGCTACTAAAATTTGGGAATTACAACCTTCAAGTATGAAAGTGTGAGGCAAACACATGTTCAATTAGGAAAAAAAACAGTTTTATTAGGGTTATTATAAAATCTGAAATTGTCAACAGTCTTTCCATGCAAAACCACATTTCCTTCATTTATGTATCCATGTCAAGCTTCCATCTCATTAAGACATGTCCAGCAGCTGAAAAGAGTTCCTTGTTCTTTCTAGGAGAAGCAGTACCAGTTTTCCCAGCACTGTCCGATTCCCCAGCAAGTGGATCAGTGCCATGCTGAGCAGTCCCAGGTCACGTCCCAGTGCCAGCAGACACAGACCAGCAGCCCCTGTGAAATAATTCCAGTCTGCGTGAGTGACGACTGCCAAGGAAATACAGTGAGGAGGGTAACAGTTCAAACCTGTGAACCGGTGAGAATCACATTTTACTATTCGCAATGTATTTTTGTTTTGTATGCAGAGTACAAAACTTTACAGATACATAAAATTGCTAATCCCCAACCTCAGAAGTTTTTGTTCAAACTCATAGTAGGGTCATTAAGCACCATATACCCGTTGTAAGTAAACAGCAGAGTTAGTGTGTCTGTTGCAGGTAACTTCTACGTATGCTGCGATGGCAGACTTGTCTAGAACTGTCCAAGACTTTGTCACGTGCTGTTTAAAAAAAGAAAGAAAAGAAAGAAAAAAAAGAAAAAAAGCTGGTTTAGGTGTTGTTGGCGTAGACCTGCGCTTAATTGTACTGACTGATCATCATTCTATTGTCCTTTAAATGTGTTAAGTCTTGCTGGTTTGGTTGTGTTGGGTTTTTTTTTTTTCCCTTTATCTGGGAGTGTTAACCAATGACTGAGTCAGGTTTCATCTGTCAGTCTTTGTACAATAAAGATTGAGTAATGTAAAGCTTATCCCTCTAGGTTTGGAGAGAAGTTGCATTGCTTTATAAAATGGACATGCATCAATTCAGGATTGCTTTCTGTCTAAACTCATCAATAAGGACTTCAAATATATTTCAATTTGATGTAGAAGCATTTGACACACATTCACTGCAAGCACAAAACTAGCTGCCCTCATTTTACAGCAGGTTGCAAGTTCTGGAGTTTCTAAGGGCTGCAGGAGGTTTGCTATACATCTAACTTCCTTCAGTTGGGGAAGGGAGTGCTGCGGTCCTTCCTGTGCATTTGTTCGATATATAGGTGGCAAGACAAATGTGCTTGGTGACCTTAGTGTTAGAGCTACGGGGAATCTTCCACAGCCAGATACTCCCATAAACCAACTTAGGTATGCTCAGACTAGGTTGCTGTTTGAATTCTTTCATAGTTCACATCCATAAACCTTTGGACTGTGGCAATACAAACACCATTTTTGCAGTGGGGAATCTTGCACCCCGTTGGTTCTATCTGGGTGCTGCCCACTGGCGTCGTATCTACTACAGCTACGGAAGCATGCGTATTAATGAGATTTCCTAATTCTCAACACTTTCTGTATTAGAATAACAATGACGATACTGCCATAGAAGAGAATACTTTGCGTATTTCTTGTTGTTGTAAAGGAAGTAATTTATTTCTGTACGGTTTACCCAAACCCAGAATATATGGAAGACTCAATACCAAGGAAAAGAACAGTGTAAATAAATTGCAAATTAGTAAGAGCAAACAAAACCAAATCCATCATACTTGTAGTGTTTTCATGTTCAGCTTTCATCCCGTAAAGGGGAACTCATTTCTGATCTTCCTGCTTATCTTCTGCTAGGTGAATTGCTCTCAGGAAAATAATGACCAGCTGGACTGCCGCTACTTTGGTGAGCTCCTTGCTGAACTGAATCGCAAGACCAACGACTTGCACAGTTGTTTACTACAGCATGTGGAAAAGATAGGAGGAAGGTATTGGCATTCTATCTGTTCTGTCATTTCGGTATTCAGAAATCCTAGCTTTGCACAGTTCAGAGGCCAGTATTGTTTCCAAGTTGGTTTTGTTTGGTTTTTTTTCTCCTGACAACTAGAATTGACTATGTATTTTACACATTAATCTAACTTGCTGAATAACTGAGGACATAAAAATGCTGTAAGCCAAATAAATACATTTGAATTTCGATGCTTTTTCAAATTGTTTAGATTAATATGCAGTAAGAATTACATATCCCATGCCTGTTTGCACATAGAGCAAACAAGTGTACTTACAGCATGCTCTGACAGATATTTAATGATACAATTCTATTATGTCCTGAAGAAATAAACAACCCAAATGTCCAAGTTGCCATTTCCTTTGTTCTGTCATGGTGTTATGTTACTTCATGGATTAAAAGATGGCCATCAAAAGGCATAAAGCTCAGAATCTACATGGAAATTAATGCCAAGCATGTATTCTGCAGAGCCCTACAGAATGGCAGTCTCATTTGGTGCTTTCCAAGTTCACTGAAATAAGAAAAGTGGTCCCTTAGCAGGGGAAAGTGGAATTGAAGCATCACAAAACCCCTGACACTGCTAAGTAAACACTTCAGGAATGTCAATATATTGCAGCATAGTTCTGGGTAAACCATTACCCAGCCAATTAAGAATGTAATTGAGTTAACTGAACATAATTGGGATAACTGCCCAAAGAAACAGAGATAGTTAGCCTGTGTTAACTGTACTGCTATTAGTATTCCAGTCTCCTTGGCTATTTCTACACAGAATCACATTTAACAACTCGTGTTGCCTTGCACCTTAAAAGGAAGGTAACAGCTCTTGGTCTGATAAAGAACCTTCCTTGCTCCGTATTTTAAAGATAATCTTTTCATAGTTGTGAATGTGGGCACAAATTCTTAAAGTTCTGAACAAGCTTTGTCAATCTGTCTCTTGAATTGTCTTACAGGAATCATGACATTGAATTCACCTGTCAGGTAAGCATCACGTGTGCTCTTAGCAAGCTGTTCCCTGATGTGTAGTGTTAATAACAACGGTGTGGATCTTCGAGTAAATTAAGCCAAGCCAGTTTAAACAAAGGATGCTAGTCTTTGTTAGTTAATGATTCCTGGTTGTTAATAACGTTCACAGCCTGAAACCCACTGCTAGGCATGTATTCGCAAATGTGATAATATTGAAAGGAAGCTTTAACAATTTGCATTATTCCAGTATGAGAGTCAAATTTTGAAAGTCTTTCCTGTTGTGCCAATAGTGGTTTCATTGTAAAACAAACTTAGAGCTCCATGGATTTTCACTGTGCGTTTTTTGCAAAGGATCTGACACTGTCTTGCCAAGAAAGCCGCTGTTCACCACATGTGCTGCCACGTGTTGCAAGAAGAATGCTGCTCTCACAGAAATGAGGGGTGTGAGGTGACAGAACAGGCTTCCTGCGTCTACAGAAAGCTCGCTTTTGTGAATCGGGCCATGACAGAATCATCAGCACCTCTGTTGTTTGTAAAGGCATTGTGTATATGGCAGAAATACTTGTCTAGGATTAAATTACATGAAGCAATGCCACTTAATCACTGGCAGTGTCTGCGGTGACGCATTGGTCATCGTTATTGACAATCTGTTCTTGTTTAGAAACATGAGATTTGCTCATATTGTAAACTGTTGGGAGTTCTGTTTCAGCGTCAGCTCTTTTCTTTGAGAGAGGACTGTTTTGAATACTGCTTTTAGAGTAAATGTTAACGATTTGAATATGTGCTTCATATATCACTTCATCTGTTTTTATACACCACAAATATACAAGACTTTAGAAATCTTCTGGATACACTTTGATCTATTTTCGTTCTTATTTGCCTGGTACTGAACATGTTTTTCATAGTAGAGCCCTGTAATTAATGAAGAAACCACGTTACGATCTACCAGGCAAAATTCTTAATCAAGATGTCTCTCCTTTCCTCCCTTTGCTTAGACTGAAGATATTGAAGATTTAATTCCTAAAGGACTGTCTGAGGCAACAAAGCAGCAGATTCGTTATCTCCTCCAGGTATGTGAGCAGGGTGGAGGGGGTGTGTGGAACCCTGCAGTATCTTGAAACAATGGAAGCTGGCTTACACGTACCAGGGTACCATACACCACTCCATGTTCTGCTTATTCCGTTTTTTCTGGTGTAAGGGGTGTGGGATCACACAGGTGGCTCCAAGTGACATGTTGTGGCAGCTGGTTCCACGGATTACTCGTGTATTTTAAACTGAGGTTTCCTGGTGCTTTCTTGCAGTTTCACTGGAAACCATCTTTAAGAATAGATCTTTCATCTTTCTTGTGTTGTGTATTAATGCTTTACTTTAAAAGCTAAAGGCAAATAGCAGGTGCTGTGCTATAACTGGCTATCAATTGCCAACCACACATAATGCTTAGACTTGGGTCTCACCTTTTACAAATGTTCTGGTTAAAACCTCTAACACAGCACTGTGCTCCGAGCCATGCTTACAACATTGGGCAACAAAACCACCATTTCTGGTGTGGTTCCATTTACACAGGCTTCTGTGTTTCCTCTGATCTGGTCCTTGTACCCAGCCACCTCAACTCGCCTCCTCAGTTGCCAGCCACGTGGCTTTGGCTGTAAGGCAGTCAGACATACGTCCAAGGTTCCGGTCATGGTTGGTTCGTTGCTTCCTGGCGCTGTCAAACTCTGCAGCGTTGTTTAGAAAAGCACTTGACCGCTCTGTGAAGTGTTTTGCAGAGCTGATTGGGATTGGCCCCCTGCCCTTGACAGAACACCAAGAATGGTGCTGTAGGCTGAATCGACCACAGAGCGGTTGTACCGCGGACATGTGTCAGAACAGGACCCAAACCAACCTGTGCTGCTTAGCAGGAGGCGGGGCTAAGGAGATCCCACCTGGGAGCTGCAGCTGTAGTAATTTATCACTTCCTGCTAAAAACCACATGTGAATAAAGTTGTGAATGAGCCACCTGGTCTGACTTCACAGCTGATCTGCTTTAGGCAGGAGGTTGGACGAGGTGACCTCCCAAGTCCTGTCCAACTGGAATTGTTCTGTGATTCTTTTACAATGGAGATGGACACTGACACCAAACTATTTCACGCCCTCACGTTAGGACCCTGTCCCAGGACACGGAATCAGCTCACCTGTGTGTGAAAGAGCTGAAACACGTATTTCCTGTTTTCTCCAAGTCCAGCAGGTTTTACATTGTCACAACTATGTTTAAAAAAATGCAGCTACAGTGTCTTTTGGGGAACCAGATTTTGTCAGCACACATACAAAGTGTGCTCTTGGGCTACACACTGCTCTGGCCTCTCGGACAGCTGTGTTTGGTGTTTCTACATCTGAGGGGGTTCTGAGCCGGCGCCTCAGGTGAAGACCGTGCTGGGTATGCCCAGAGGCTCAAGCCTAAGAGCACGGGGAGTTTCACTGGAGAAGCGCATGGCACCTATGGAATTTAGCAACTTCTAGCACTGAGTAGTTGCTGAGTGGGGGGTTTACTTACATTTTTTACTTAATTCCTTCTTTTAATCTACTCCCATAGTGTATTTCACAATAAAACCAACAAAACTGTTAAGTCAAAGATGAAATACCACTTTAATTAAAAACCCAACAAACAGGTGAGTTAGTTACACAAGCAATGTTCTTTTTGAAGCCGCAGTCAGGTAATAGCACCAGTGGGGATAAAAAATACAAGAAGGACTAATCACCGTATTGGTGGAGCTCTTGATAGCTTTCTGCAATTTGATCACCAAATAAAGGGAAAGTATAAGAGGACAAGAAACACGGGAGGATTTCATTTTTGCCCAGACAGTACAAAATACGTATTCTGCACAGAATATTCAGCCCTTCCAGATGAGTCAAAACTTGAGGAATTAACTTTGTGTGATCTTTCAAGATTTTTCTTCATTCAAATATCAGAAATACATCATGAAATGCAAGTTTAACATGAATCAAGTGTTAGGTGTTACGCTGTTGTGCACTGCTGCCTTTTTCATCCACTTGACTCATTTAATCTTTGGGATCTTCTTCCTTTGGAAGGGAGGAGTTGGTTGTATGCCCCCTCCCCCCTTTTTTATTATTTAAATTTTTAAAAGTTTTAATTAAATTCTCTTGCCCTTGGGCTGAAAGCATGCTTTGCCAGACCTCAAAGATGATGGCTCACTCCTCTGTGACTTCTCAGGCAGGGTATTTATTTCTTTAAATTGGTGTAAGTCACAAAGCTCTGAACGCTCAAAAAATGACTGTGCAATATTAACGCATTTATTTTTCCCTTTTTGCTGTACAAATGCAGTTCTTTACTCTTGTTCTTTCCCTTTTAAAAAAACGTTACCCTCTATTACAAGACAATTTAAACACTGCTCATTTGCAGAACAAAGTGCATGAAAATGTTTCTTTGTAAAGTGCAAGCACTTCAAAGAATGACGTGCAGTAGCTCTAAGAGTCAAAAAGTTATTTTCAGCTGTAAAGTGGTTTCTGTTCTGCCCACTGTCGGGCCTATTGTAAAGAAACACACTAATTAATCACAAGTATATGTTTTAATTTTTTCTCCTCCTAGATGAGAGTGACATCAGACAAATCTATGAGACTCGTGCTTTCCACTTTCAAAAATCTACGTGAAGAGCTTTGCCACCTGCAGGATGACCTGGGGGTAAGCGAGCCACGTTGTTCTGTTCCCATGGCCTGTCGGTGGGAAGTCCGTTAGGATGAAATTTAAATTGTGAAGTCCAGGCTTTAGTTGCTGTAACGGAAATGGCTGGACTGTTAATGGACTAGCAGGACACGTACGGTGGATGAGGTTCGGTTTCTTTCTAGTAGTGGTTTTTCAAGTGTTCTATTTGTTGAAGCCTAAAAACCCAAATACTTTCAAAAGGAAGACAAGAGTGCTGAGTGAAATTAGATTTAAAGCTCTGACTTGGTGTGTACAGTGCACATGGTGTAGATGATCTGTGTTTACTTTTAACATGGCCAAGGAGCACACACCAAGTGCCGCTTTGCTGGTGCTTCCTGGAAAAATCAGGAAAATTTATTATTTTCTCAGCTCTAAACCACCACTTACTACTTACTTAGTATGTTGCACTTTGAATGTGGGAAAAGGTAACTGAAAAATTGCAGCTATTGACCAGAAACCCTTTTGTCTTACAGAAGTTAGAAACTGACAGTGTCTTACTTAAGAAGGATTTGGCTTTTAAAGATTCTCAAGTGAAAGAATACGAAACTATGTTGACTTCTCTGAGAGAGAACAATCGTCAGCAGCAGGTAAATCTGAAAATGTATTTTCAGTGTAGTTACAGTCAGCAAAAAACTAGCCAGTACGCTGACTTTGGAGCAGCCTGAGTAACTGCTGCCTGGCGTGCGTTTGAGTACGTGCACAATCCTGCTGCTTCCTTAAGGAACCTGGCCCATTTAGTCCACTTCTCTGCTTTCCAGCAAGGACTCAGAGAGAGCACTGCCAAGTGTCGCGCTCTGGAAGAGCAGCTCCTCTCTCTTCGGCTCAGCGAGGGAGAAAAGGATTGTCAGCTAAAGGAACTGGAGTACTGCAAGCGTGCCTTGGAGCAAGAGATCCAGAGCCTCAAACTGCAGGTAACAGGCTCACTTACTGCTGTTATTCATGGATACGGATACAATAAGGTATGAAAATGAATGATGAAAACACTTTTTCAAATAAAAAATTACTTAATTTCCTCTAGACCTGCTCCAATCCCACACTACAGACCACCACAGATGAACTCTCTAGCCGTTACGTAGAGATGATCAATAACTTGAGAGAGGATAAAGATCGTGAGATTCGCAATCTTAGGGTAAGTTGATTAACTTGGCATGTCTGTCTTCCTCACCTTGTACGACTGCAGGTAAATGCCTGCTTTTTTAATTAAGGAACAGGAAAGCTCCACCATACGTGCTTTTCACATCTCTTTTGGGTCTGCGGTTACTTTATACATAAATGATGGCTCAAAGACCCTTATGGTAGAACATATAAAACTGTGATTTAAAAAGAATACAATTCCTTAGACCTAGAAATCAGGGATGAATCAGATAAGCAGGCTTTCCTAAAGGGACATTTTGTGTGTCCTGATAAAGAAAGAAAGTAGCCAAAAAACAGCCAACAGAAAATAAAGGTAAGTAAGTCCCAGTCAAAACTCCATACAGGAAAGGTCTCGTTTACAAGACTGCAGTAATATTTTACCACCCTGGAAGCCAGTTCAGCTGTTGAGCGATGCTATGAGTGTTTATCGCGGTAGAAACCTATTGAGTTGTACTGAATTCTACCAGTATCGCTCGGCACTTCCCGAATTTACTGTGCACCTTGAACTTGAAAATCGTGGGGTTTTGTCTATGTCCATGTATGCCTGGATGTCCATTGCCTATTTTAAATTACACTCATTCAAGTCTTACTGTTTGATAATTTAATGAAAAAAGTACATCCAGAGTCCTAGATACACTGTGAAAGGGGACCCAGAGGGAGCACCAAACACCTAACTCTTCTGAACCTATGTTTTCTAGTCTCAGTTATGCCAATTCCAGCAAGATATATCCAGGAGAGAAGGAAGTAACAGTGACTTGCAAATAAGGCTGCATGAATTGACATCGATGCTGGAGGAGAAAGATGCTTTTATTAAACAACAGCAAGAGGTAAAAGAATACAACTGCTGTCTTGTCCAAGAACTTTTATATTTAAGCCTCCACGTCCTGTGTACGTGGAAACTGCACCAGGAGGCCACCTGTGCTCTCCTGATTTGGCAGTCAGAGGTAGGATTCTTTTAACTGCACACTGTTCCTCTGCCCATCTTTTGGAAGGACAGGCTTTTCGGACTGCTCTTTGAGCGGACTTTCTGCAAGTATCTTGTTGTCACTGTAGTGAACTAATACTTCAGGAAATGTTATTTCATGTGGATGTTTGCTTTTGGTTTTCTCAGGACCTCTTCAGATTGAAGCATGAGAAATTATCAGGCAGTCAGTCCCCTGGTGTCACAGCTATCATCACTAAGAAGTAATGTAGTTATTCACTTTTCTTAAAACCATCCTTTTGATGCTCCATTGTACAGCCTCTGTTAACCCTGTTCCTGCCTCCTGAAAAACATCTCACTACTGCCCGTTCAGCTTGGGGGGGGAAGTTGAGATGGGTTTTCCTATCCAGGGAGGGTTCGCTACTAAGCGCTGTAATGGCAGTTGGAGGGGTGGCCAGCACGTTGAGGTGACATCAGAATGACTCTATCACCTTCTCAGTTATTAGTGAAAAGCTTTGGGGATTAATGACTGGAAGGACCATGGCAAGATGAGAGTGAGTGATCTGGATACGGGTGTGCAGATTTCAGCTTACAGGTTTCCAACTCTTTCCTACAGGTACAGGAATCAGTATCCTATTCTGGGTCTTCTGTCTGATGACTACAAGGTTACATCACCAGTCAATAAATCACAAACTATTGTCATTGAGAGGACTGGAGAGATCTGGAAACATGTAAGTTTACCTAGAGATTATCTCTGAAATTCCCAAGTGTTCTGTTTCACTTCACAGAACGTATTAGCCACGACTGACATCTGAGAGACAGCCACACCACAGCATTAATTTAACTTGGCTGCAAAAAGCAAGAGACTGATTAAAGTCGAGGAACTTGCACTGCCTATTGCAAGGAGGCTCTAATTGGTGGGTGGGGTAGAAAGAGAAGAACCTTTTTGGTTTTTTCCCTGGCACGTAATTACCTTTAACAAAACAAGTGGCCTTGCTGGAGTGCCAGCCCCTGCCCTCGCGCACATCAC